TCATCTGTTGCACATGGAGGATGAATTCTTTCAGTCTTCCTGCTTTTTATCACTTAACTCTTCTTCTTCTTTCTATTTTTACCTTTTTATTACTAGAAAGTGAATAGCGAAGTTAATAGACATTAGTACTTCGTCGGAACTTCAGTTTTTCTGGATTATGCTTTTTCAAATCACTTCCACATTATTTTTTCCAGAATTTGTAAAGCCTTTAATGTAAGAATAGATAATTTTATCAGGAAATTGCACAAATTCTTCACGCTGTACAGATTTTCATCTGTCCTTCGCAAGTTTTTAATAAATCGATGAGTATAAGATGTCAATTGTTCTAGCAAAATAAACTAAAAGGTATCTGAATTTCTTTAGCAACATATAGGCATAATCACCATTTAGTACATAGGTAGTAATGCGGGATATAGACCGCTTCCATAGTTCTATGGTCTTTTACGCAATCGCGAGCAGTTGACTTTTGCAGAGCTCAGAAGAATGGAAGACCTCCACAAAGATGGAAACCCTTGGTGCGCTCGAGCTCGAGTTAGCAAATCTTCTAAGCACTTCGAGCCAAGAAGAAATGGAGGTTGGTTTGCTGAAGTTTTATCAAGCAGCCCCGTAATGATATGGTTCCAGTCAGCAAATTTTTGAAATTGTAGACAGACAGCAGACAATTGTATGGAAATTAATATTGTATACTCATTGCAAATTGTTGAGAAACTGTTTATCTTCCTCTTTCATTCTCCAGTTTTCGAAAAAATTCTTCTAGTTTGAACCATTTTAGAAGAAGTAAAACTCTAATAAGTTTTCAGAAAAATCGCAAGGAACTATCTGGATTTCGCAACCTCTTCGCTAGATTTCTTAGAGCCAAAACCCATGTGGACTGGACCAGAATTGAGCCTCTGCCGGAAGGAGCAATTAGGGGATATAAACATGTTAGTAATGATTATTTTACAACTATAAAAATTGAACTGCTGTTGCAGCTAGAGCATCCTACTAATGACGAAGTGATTGCATCTATGCTGAACAAGTTGGTAGTAGTAAAGCTCAATGGAGGATTAGGTACTTCAATGGGTTGCAAGGGCCCAAAGTCAGTCATTCCAGTACGAAATGAACTAACCTTTCTCGACTTGACCCTGCAGCAGATTCAGGTATCTAGTTAGATAAGATAGATCTACCACTTAATGTGACTCTTGTTTTGTAGACCTTAAACAAAACCTACAATGTTGATGTGCCGTTGGTGTTGATGAACTCATTCAATACAGAAGAAGATACTAAAAAAGTACTGAAGAAGTACGCCAATGTCAAGGTAAACTTCCTTATTTTTATTCTTATTGTTATGTTGGAGAGCTAATAATGCTTTCTTGTCTAGTCCTGCTTATAACTCTTTATTAGGTATCCGTGTACACGTTTTGTCAGTCTCAATATCCTCGTGTGAATCGTGAGACACTGATGCCTATTGCGAAGACTTTGCATGACGCGGATTTGGAATGGTGAGAAACAAAAGCATCTTTGTGACTCCACCCTCCCCCCCCCTATCGTCTTGACCGAAATCTTTTTTCGAATACATAAAGCTCTACCCTTGATGATGCTCTCTTGTCTCATATGGTGAAAATCTGCTAAACCTTTTCATCATTATTGGCAATAGGTAGTATTTATATGGTCTTAGTTCACGTTGCAGCAGAGATTGAAAAAAGAATTGAAAAGAGACTCAAGAAAACATGTTTCTACACGTTTATTAAAACCCCTAAGTATTGTGACCGCGCATTACTGTTCCAATCCCTGATCGAAGTTCATAGAATTGATATTTGTTGCGTTTAGTTGGTACCCTCCCGGACACGGTAACTTTTACGAAGCATTTTACAATTCCGGTCTTCTCGACAAGTTTATCGCCGAAGGAAAAGAGGTGGAGCTTTTAATCCTAATGGGATAATATATGTTCTGGTTTCTACATTTTCGTTCATCTTAACTTTAGTACTGCTTTCTTTCCAATATTGATAATATGGGTGCGACCGTGGACTTTGCAATTCTCAACTTTTTGTTATCCCCTCCTGCCGGACATGATCATCCAGAGTTTCTCATGGAGGTAAGTTCAGGTTTTTTCTTTTGCTTCCGACAGTTCACGAAATCTTCTTGGCTTTCAGGTTACAAACAAGACGCGAGCTGACGTCAAAGGTGGTACTCTTATTCAATACGAAAACAAACTTATGCTTCTTGAGATTGCACAGGTTCCCAAGGATTATGTGGACGAGTTTAAGTCCATTAGTAAATTCCGGTGTGCAATTTTTATGGATAGTTTACAATAACGCAACAGGGGTAGCGCGACATTTTTTCTTATAGTATCTTCAACACCAACAATTTGTGGGCTAAGCTACCAGCAATAAAGCGAGTGATAGAGAATAATGAGCTAGAAATGGAGGTCATTGTAAATCCCAAACATCTTGAACATGGCCTGGATGTAATCCAGTTGGAGACAGCAGCTGGTGCTGCCATCAAGAACTTCCGAGGCGCATGTGGTAGGTTGTATGGCTTTTTTTCAGGAAAAAAAGACGAGTTTCCATTTTTCATCTTCCTCACTAGCCAAAAATACCTTTTCTTGGCAGGTATAAATGTACCGCGATCACGTTTCCTGCCTGTGAAGAAGTGCTCTGACTTATTATTGCTCATGTCCAACTTATACGATATAGACCATGGCAGTTTGACCTTATCGGAACAGAGGTCATTCCCTACTACTCCGCTTGTTAAATTAGGATCAAGCTTTGACAAGGCGAGCATTTAGTGACTACTAAACTCAAAATTTTCTTTTTCTAGAAAAACCAAGTTCCAGGTCTCAGACTTTTTGAAACGTTTTCAAGGAATTCCAGATCTCTTGGAACTGGACCATCTTACAGTCTCGGGAGATGTATGGTTTGGAAAGGATGTAACACTAAAGGTTTGGTTCACTGCATGGCTTGCGGCTCTCTAGACTAAAATTTGAGAAAGTGCATATAGCATTTCTGATAATACGCCAACGACGAATGATTACGAGCTTCTCAAAATTTTTTAAAAAATCACCCTTTTGCTGTCTTTTGTAATTATTTTTACCTTTGGGAGTTGAATTGCGGTAATCTTTAGGTAGCAATATTGACTAGAAATCAGTTACTCTTTTCTCAAACTTGAGAGGTTTATGTCCTATGTTATCTTATTATTGTACAGATTAAATCATGCCTAGAAACAACATACTAGCGATGTAACAAGCGATTACCATTATTACAATACTAGTTTTTAAAAAAAAGAATAACTCAGAAAGTGAAAAAGATTGGAAGGAAATTGTAAGCTAAAAAATTGAATGATTAGATCGTAACCTAAATTTTTCCTAGGAAAATATGTTTTATTAGTGTGTTTAAGAGCATTTCGTTTTTTTCAAAAAGTCTGAAATATTGAATTGACAGAGTCACTCTCAGTGTTTGTTTCGTGGGCTTCTCCCACATTCAACGTTTATTACGAATTTTTTGTAGTATCCTCATGAATAGCCTCTTAGGTGGAGATTATTAGATGTGGAGGTTACGATGATTTTTTAGGGTACAGTAATAATCATTGCCAACCATGGAGACAGAATCGACATTCCACCTGGATCCATTTTGGAAAACAAGATAGTCTCCGGCAACCTTCGCATTTTGGAACACTAGAGAAGAGTCACGCTGATTTTTCATTTGGCTCTGCAACTAATCTCTTTATGTGCCTGATATTATCTCTGCCTTATCACACTACCTACTGGGCTGTTAGAGACGCGTGTTACAGTGAAAATCCACTTGCTAAGATTGCTCTTGTGTAGCATAGTTGTAGCTGTGCAGTTCATACTAGAATCCTTTTCTCAGTTCTCTCATTGAAGTGGTAACATTAGCCTTATTACAAACTAGCATTTAGTATCTCGAAGTGTTTTTTTAGCTTCCAGAACGTGTATATTCATTTGCATTCTGCTTCAACTATTCAAATTTTTCTCAACATGAATGCTCGTGGATTCGTTCAATATAATGTATAGATTGTAAGTTACGGAACTAAAGTATAATTTGACACTTACCCATCCGTACTCTCTCAAATGCATACTGGGAATATACAACACATTACTTCAATACTAAACGGACTCATACTATATCTTCTAAGTGCGAAAGGGTGATTTTCGGCAAATTCAAATTTGAAATAAGTATCACTTGGCTAGGAAATTGAGCTGTCAACAAATTTCGGAAATTTTTGGCTTACTTTTGGTCTACATCCCGTTCATAGTTTTTGCGGAAAAACGCACAACGGACTTTACGTAAAAGTATGTCATAAAGCATCATAATTTTCTTCATAACGATAGAAAAAAAATAAGGGGCATGAGACTCAGCTTGTCAAGGCGAATCTTTCAGGGTGTTACACAACAATAGCACCCTAGGCATACGTAAAAAGTCAAAATCGCGAAGATCAGACACTTCGCTTTGGGAGTTTTTTGATGTTTTGATATGAAAAAATCTATCAACTTGTTACAATCGCGCCTTATTGTGGGAAAACGGTAGGTATCAGTAGGAGCTCAACATCGCGAGTCCGCTTACTTTGGGGAGGTTGATCGATAGACTGATCGCAAAAAATTATTCGCTTGTCACGAGTATTCGGTTTTTTGTGATCAGTGCTCCTGTGAAGATACGGCAGCTAGACGGCAGGTGGTCAATACCATGCTGAAGTTATTTGATCGCAAAAGAAATTACTTTTAATGTAGAGATAACGTGGGTGAAATACATAACCACGGTAATTGTTCGCAAAAGAACGAAAAAAAAA